TTTTGTGCGGTGTTGTACAGTCCAAATAACTTTCTTAAATATTCAAACAAGCCGAAAGGAGTAATAAAGGCTGTTTTAAGAATGTCATTTTCTTCTACTGGTGTTTGATGATAGTCGTCAACCAGATCGATCCTGCTGAAGATCGTCTTACCTGTGAGGCATGCGGTAAGGCCGTGCATGTGTAGGATTGTATACCTATCTGGGCCGGTTAACCTTTTGAGTGCGCGGTAGTCACCGCAAGGGCGCCATTCACCAGATTTGTTGGGGACCATCTGCATGGGAGACGACCAAGGGCGGATGATTCCAAGTTCGAGCATGTGCTCAAACTCCGCCCTAGCTACCTTAAGTTTCTCTGAAGATAGTCGGCGTGGCCGACATTAGATGAGTGGGTTATTCGTCCATATGTGGTGCGTGACTTGGGATGCCACGGGCAAAGCTGTGTTCATTGACTGAACGAGTTTGGGGTACTGGGAGAAAAGGTTGGCGTAGTCTGGCGAGGTCTGGGGAAAAGCGTAGACCGATATTATAGATGCGATATTGACGGTGATGCCACGTACACTGAGTTTCGTTGCAGTGTCGACTATCAGCTGGCGTGTTGTATCGACCTAGAGGTAAAAATGCCTGTTAAAGTCAACGCCGATGATGTTCAAGGGGACTGCAGCGACGATAAATACCCAGCGGAACGTGTGCCGAAGAAATGGGCCCAGTGTAAGCGACCAAGGATCGTAGGTGGCTGCTGCTGTACCACTGACGGCACTTAGTCTTGTCGACAAACCAACAGCTGGCGCACATGGAAAAGGGGGGGATGACGCTGACTTCCGCCCCCGTATCAACTAAAAACTGCGTCTCGGAATCATAATCCCTATTTTAGATGAGACCACTTTGGGCTTTGCTGACACCGCTAGTCGCCATTACGGGCCGGCCTGAAAGCTCCACTGCTTCGCGGCGAAGAAACTGCATGGTTGGTCACATTTACAGGCTCTGTTACCAAAACGCGAGTGGTAAAAGCAAAAGCCTAAATTGTAACGCTTCGTGAGACAGGGTGATGAGCTAGAGCGGTTGCTCTGCTTACTGTCTAGGGAGAGTTTCTCATTTTGGTGTTGTAGTGACGTGATTTGTGCTGATAAAACGTCCATTACTGACGGCTCACTAGTGGCGGATGTCACTGGGGCTGCGACGGTGATAAGTCGAGAGAGTGTTACCGATTGGTTCGTTGTCTGATGCTGAACCGATGACGCGGTCTGCTAGTTCCACAACTGCTGCGAGAGGCAGAGCGGTTGCCACGGCTAAGATAGCCTGAGTGTCTTCCGGGAGATGTTACAACCACATTTCGTGGTGAATCCCGGCGTCCATGTTACAGGTGTCTGGGATCTGTTACATCTGTCACAACAAGCCTGAAGTCATTTTGTCCCCTAACTGCAGATGCTTAAACAGGTTCTGCAGTCCGACCTTGTCGGGGGCGTGGTTCACTTGATGATCGCTTGCTTTAAAGTCTCATACTTCGCATCGGGAGGAAAGCAAGCAATGATGTCTGTCACCTGGGGTGTTACACTTTGCGGAAATTGCGACATATGTTGATGATATCAAACATTATCAGAAGAAATACTGCAATTGAACAAATTGGATTCTAAATATACTAACCATAACAACGGGTCATTCTCCCAACAAGGCGGGCAAGCACTACGGCACCAACCACGTACCTAGACGGGTTATCATCTGAACTATTCATCGTGAGCAATGAAGAAGTATATGCGGCAGGTGAGAAAACAAAAGGATAGCGGGTACCGAATCAAAAGGTCATTGGAAAGAACTAACCAGAATGCGGGTTCACAATGGCGGACGACGTGTTCTGGACCGGGGTCCCCAATCCTTGGACGGTGCCTGGGATACTAGTCAGTAATCAGTGACACGTAAGAAACGTGTCAAATGCGGGACAGTGTAGAAGTGGGAGGCGACTGGACCCAAAGGGTATTGTGCAGACTACAAAAACAGGAAGCGAATCAACCAGAGCGAGAAAAGGTGTGGCAAGATACTCACCAAAACCATTTGTGTCAACGGAACTGTCGTCAGTCAAACAAGTGGACATTCCGAATGTTAAATCAACAGTAAAATCCAGTGTCGTAAATTACGAAAATAGCGTGTTCTCTGGTAAACTGCGCCAACTCATTTGATCCGCTCTGTTTGAAATCATGACGTTGGCTTAGATAGTACTGCCCCAGCAGCCCCATCCGGCGACTAGGCAAAAAACAAAATTATGTTTTACGCTAGGAAATGAGATGGTAGGTGGAGGGGGAGGCTAAAATGGATGGGGAGGGGTAAATAATCTAACAGCAAGAACGCCACTGAGGTCGGCTCCTAGCCATGTCAACAAGTGTATCGAGCCAAACGTGTTCACCGGCGTTTGGACCCCAACCAGGGAGCCGTGACACTCCAACCGATGCCAGCTCCCAAGTTAGGACCTTCATTCCTCTGGACCAAGTCATCGCTTGGCCGCCCCTCCTCTTCTTATGTCCACATCCCCGGTGAGCAAACTACGCAGGTCGTGGAGGTTGCTGGGCTGGCATGCGTAACACATGGCCGAGCCATCGGAGCCTGGTGCGTCAAATGACGGTCCTGAGCGGTTCACATCCTTTTGCTATGCCGCAAGCAAGGCGTCGAACACGCTAGTTGCTCACGCAGCGTTCCTACTAGAGGTGAGCCAAAATACGAAGGCACCGGTGATCGAAGGTAACTAGCCTCTTCATGTCTGCTGATCTTATGGGCCAGGTTCCGCAACCTTACAGTATGGTCCAACGTACCGCTGCATTGTACACTCTAAACATCAGGGCGAGAGTAATACCGCGCCACCACCATAGGTGGCGAAGGTTAGCAAAAGCACGAAGTGCTTTTGCTATACGGTTCGTGATCTCGTCTTCGATCCCACCGGCGCTGATACAACTTCCCAGGTATTTGAATTTCCGAACGACTTCTAGCTGAGCCCCACCAAATGTCAGCGCAGGAGGCGATCCCTTCCAAACTCGGAGGAACGCTTTGCATTTCGATAGTGCGAAGCAAAGCCCAAAGCGGCTGACAGCCAGTGCTAATCTGTCCAACGCGTCCGGGAGCTGTCAGAGATTAGGGCAATGTCGTCTGCATACTCCAAGTCAAGAAGTCGCTCTCCTGGGAGTATTTCCACACCCTCCAAGTCATGTCCTGTAAATGCAATCTCCGTGACTTTGTCAATAGCGAAGTTGAAGAAAAACGTTGACAGTGGGCATCCTTGTCTCACACCGCTGGAGATATTGAAGGGTGGCGACAGCTTACCGTAAGCCCTCACTCTGCCCATGTTACGTGCGTATAATGCTTGGATAATATTTATATAATTCTCGGGCACACCGTTCCTGAGTAGACAGTTCCAAAGGGCACATCGATCAACCGAATCGAAGGCACCTTTGAACACGACTGCGGTGGGCCGCCAATACGTGTGACGGCGCTCCAACAACTGACGCAAGGCGAAGACGTGGTCGATGCAGCCACGACCCCGACGAAACCCGGCTTGCTCCTCACGAATCTGGCTTTCACGAGCGCCAGTCAGTCTTTGGAGAATTATGGGGGCGAGTATTTTGGAGGCGATGGAGATCAGACTGATTCCTCTATGGTTGCCGCATTCCGAACGCGAGCCTCCTTTGAAGATAGGAACAATAACGGAGCGGCTCCAGTCGGTTGGGACAGTCGGCTGCTCCCACAGTTTCAATATTAATGCATGTAAAGCATCAACAAGAGTAGAGCCTCCGAATTTGATGAGGGCTGGAGGAAGATCATCTGGTCCCGCGGATTTGTTCAACTTCAACAGTCCGATCTCACGTTCGACTTCTGAGCGAGAGGGTGGATCTAAATGGACAGCCCACGGAGCAGGGCGATCAGTGGCCGGTGAAGATTGGAACAATTCTAGCCGATTAAATTGCTTTTCAAAATGCTCTGCCCAAAGCTCCAAACCTTTTGACAAACTGTGGATAGGCTGTCCACTCTCGTCACGTATAGTTTTACTAACACCAGGTCTCCTGCTGCCCGTTTCCCGTGTCAGACGAAATAACTCACGATGGTTGCCAAGGGCAGCGGCCATTTCCATCTCTGTTGCACGACGAGACCACCAGGATTCGCGGTCTCTCTTCAGACTAGCACGGAGTTTTGCCCGGAGCTCTTTGCGAGTTTTATTGTGTTCGCTTCCAGCCGGAATATGCCGGTGAGCATCTATAAGTTCCAGAGACTGTGAAGAGACCCAATGTTCATGTTGGCGATTAGACATACCACCTGATGATTTGCCTGCTGCCAGTAAGGGCTAGCGATCATGTGACCAGTGACCATCAATTGTCTCCGCTTAGTGAACACAGCGTTTTTCATTCATCCACTATAAGTATCTTTGTGTTTTTCTTACTGTTTATCCTGTTCTACACGTATTTTTAAAACGTTTTAACAAATGGGAAACCTGGCTTCCCATGCTCTCAGGCCCAAGATGCACTCCCGGTCCCTTGCCCCTATTCTCAAGTTTGTAACCACATGTATACTTCCGCACTGCCCAGGACTTCTCCACAGGTACAATGTTGTAGGCTGCCCAAGAAAATGTGTTTATCAACATCGCAACTGATGTTTAAATCTTCATGCAGGACTTTTGACGACCCTTCTTACCCTCAACACACCCATCTGGCCAGTATGGTGCCAGTAGTTTCCAGGTGGCCGACGTTCGACGTGCTATTTTCTCCTACCTTGTACTATCGTAACTCCTAGGTATACATGCATGTCACGCGTAGTATTTGACCTAAGAGCTATGACGCGTCAGTTGTAACACCCTTTGGTTGAATGAAAATGAATACTTGGTTTTCCTTGTCACTATATTTCTTCCATCGATGTCATGTAGTATACCCACAATGTTTGTTTAAGTTCTGAAATGCCATCATATGGTTGTATGAAGCTTATCTCTACTTGCCTAATATGAAATGTTGCTTGTCTGATCATTCTTCCAGTCCAGCGAGCTATTGTGGGGGTCGTCGTTGGTGCGTTCACTTCACCGATTTTGTCAGTGGGCCATGCTTCGCCACTATGTTCGCCACGGCTACGATCATGCCATCTTGCTTTCACGGAACATTGTACAAGCCGCTGGTAGGCCAATACTCTATCCCGCAAATGTTTGACTACAATTTAACCCCATTATTTGTTCAGCTAAAAAGGACTTATGAAAGGATTTGCATTTGGCCCGTTGATAGGGTAAACCCGTTGAGTAAACCACAGTTGCATGTAATAGCTATGGACCAAGGGCTACGTTTAGTTTTTTGAACCACCTCAGTTCAGCTCAATTCATATTTCTCCTAATTCACTGCAGATTTATTATGATTCCACTTCTGTGTAAGCAACGCTGAACTCACTGCGTTTGCCTTCCCTTAAATTATTTAAAAATGCATGGGAATTTTTGCTTGAATTATAGGTTATCAGCTTTCGTACATAAAGCAAACGTTCAAGTTTAGCAGTTAAAATAATATGGTGGGAGCAATAATGTTACCGCCCTCCTTGTCATGTATCCAAGCGCCGAGGGGTATGTTTGAGTGATACTCAACGATGGCCGTGAAACTGAACTACTTCCAGCCACTTAACGTGAACTGCTTATATCTAAGTAATGCTCATAGACGAGACAATACGGACGATCTCACTGCACCTTGACACTGTAGTATACATAATAACCCGCCATTGAAACAAACGACAATTTGTAACTCTCTATTTTCGCTCATATTTTTCACCTTATATTCCTTTCATGATCAATTGCGTCACCCTTCGGAGTTTATGCAGCCTCCTCGTTTTAGGAATTTCACCACTTGGTCAGCTGTGCCGAATCCCTCACTCGTGTACGTTAGCCGAGGACAGCGGATTTTTCTCCTCGTATCCAATCGCACATGAATTAATGCATAGGTATGTTCCAGTTTTTCTTTCGTATGGATAATATTTCCGTTTACACAATTTTTGAACACTTTTAGTAAACATGCTGACTGCGGTTTTTTGGTGTCTTCGCGAGAAGTTGATGCTGCAATGTGATGCAATCTACCCAAAGCTTGTGAGAACTTTCAGCTGTAATCAGTCATTGTAACCCCACTTGCTTGTGTTCTTATGGCATAGTGTTAAAGAAGTAGGATGAATATGAAACAAATGCTGTAAGTAAGAGCACGTGCTCCTAATCATCGGCATCAAACAACTGTTCCTATACTATCCATTTGTATTTTGTGTTTTCACAAATTCATGTTCAAACTATCTGTACCCGGGCACTCTGCTCCGCACAGTTCAATGGCATGAGGGAACCTTGAAAAAGAATGCACAAAAGCGGTAATGCTTTGCATTTGCTGTTGTGCAATCCCATTGGAACTTATATCAAACTTTGCAAAATGGCCTAATCCGTCTTTCTTACTGTTCCTAATGATGAAGATAAACACTATCGCTCTCTTACTCTACTCTCCAGTATCAGTGCAAAATACAGCGTCAATAAATATTATATACATAGAAAAAAGTTCACAATACTAAATATATGGAAGCAAGTGCAGAATTTAGTTTTGATATTTAGCCATTCTTGATAATAACCATTGTGAACTTAGGAACAACAGCTTTTGCTCAAGTGTTATATGATTTGCATGCCAGAATGAAAGCAAGGACCTCCATAGCACCCTAGCATTTTATTAGTAATTTAGTCGCAGCTGAACAACTTTTGGCCTGTGATTGGGACTTATACTTGGAGAGAAATGGTATAAATAGCTGCGATACTTACTAAATAAATAAATGTGTGTATTTACCGATAAACGGTACACGGTCCCGTAAGCGGGAGCGAACATTTGTTTAGTAAAATGGTTTCATGGTTTATGCGGCGTAAATTATAATAGTAAAGGAAAGTTAAAGAATAGGATTTGGGATCATGATTTTTTTTCCATGGGTACTAGATCCGAGCACCTGATATGTAAAAATTACCGATATTTGTGTCACAATTCTCTAGTTTGTGGGAATCAGGAGTAGATAATAAATGAGATGGGATACTAAGCTGCACAGACTGGTGCATACTTAAATGATGGCCGCGTGGTTATCGATGTTGCATAAGATGCATTGCGATTACATCGCAATGAGCTAAGAAGGAGACCAGCATTTTACTTATATGAAGACTTAGTAGTAGTCATTCTTTCAAGCCCAAGAGAAGGTTATCTGCAAGAATGTGTTCGCAGTAGCAAAACAAGTTGCTGTGCAAGGCAAAATAGCGGTGTCATAATACGCATTTTAAGAGTGACCGGAGTTCACCAGCACGCCTATGAGAATTGTGTTGAATATACATCATATTGTAAAACATTTAGGTCACTTCTATCGCGTTCGTGGACAATAACAGAGATCCAGATAACAATTCATTTTCGGATTAATTCAAATTCCATGGGACAAATTTAGACGTTCAGGTGGCTTATGAAGGTTATGTTAATGCAAAGTGTCACTGCCTCCAGGAATAAGGATAACATAGATAACAATATAAATAACAGTATTCTAACCGACAGGTGATACATAGCCCGATAAGCAGGAACGATTATTTTTACACTGAATGGGTTTCATGGTTTATGAGATCACAATAACAAATAATAAGACCAATTTAAATAATAGAATTATGGAGCATGGATTTTCACTCGGTTCAGAGACCGGATCTCATTATATATATATATATATATATATATATCCTGTTTCTCTTTTGTGTTGCCAAGAAGAAGATAAAAATCTGAAGGGGAGTCTAGGTTTCACAGTAAAAAGTTTGGTTTGCAGGTAATGTTATAGATTGGATAAGCTGGTTGTATCAACTAGCTGCTCATATGTTGTTTATACCAGCTTCCGTCAATGTTTCTAAAGCTTGTTGTGAGTCAAAGATCTTCAATACATTTGATATAATAAGGAAAGTACGTATGGTACTTCGCAATGTGACATGGTTTTTACTCATGCGTATCTGTGGGGGTGGTCTGTTCCAAGATCGGTGTATTTTGATAAGAATAAATTCGATCGAATTTTATGGCTTGCAAGCTTTGTGCGTAGCAAGTAGCCGCCATTTCATGTGAGATACGCTACAGTCTTCCGTAGCTCGAGTGCGGTGCTGTCTGCTTTACTTCGTTGGTTTATAATGTTGTGCAAGAGAACGAGGTTTTTCTTTAATCGTCTCAACCAAAGAGGATCCAATCGCAGTTGTCGACAACGGTCATAACAACTCAGGTTTGAGCAGCGCCCCGTGACCAGCTTGGTAACTGATCGTTGGACATTTTCCACAGCTGTTCTGGCTTACTATCTCAATTGGCTGTAAACGATAGTACAGTATTCCAGATTCGGTCGTACTATTAACTTGGAGGACTCAACTCGTATTTCAGGCAAGGAGAAAGTTCTGGTGATATACCCACCTAGCTGCTTCTCTTTTGCAATCTGATAAAGCAAATGTACGGAGAAATTGAAAGAGTTGGAGTACCTGATTCCTAAGTCCCGAACTGAGTCAGACGTTGGGATCACGTTACAGGCAAGTGTGATAGAGCCTTCCGGAATGCGGCATCTGTACTTGAGTACTTGGGATTTTACTGCGGAGAACTTCATTAACAAATGTTCACTAGCTTTACTTAGTGCGGATAGGTCTTCATAGATGTTTCCCAGGCACATTTGTAGTTGATCTGCATCTGAGTATTGCACTGTGACGTCATCTGCAAACAGAAATGGGCGTCCTTGTTCGATCGGTTCTCATATGCTGTTTACTTAGATTAAGTAGTGGTTCCAGTTCACTCCCCTGATAGACGACACTGGTTATCTGTTTTGGCTTAGACAATTGCAGACTGTTTCTAACTATCTGGGTTCGACCGTTTACATATGTGTCGAACCATTTGTACAGAGGATTTTCAATGGCATTCGATTCTTGCTGAATATTCTCCCGCTAAAGGTGTATAAAGCAGTTTTTGACTTTACTTGACTTGAATTGTACAGACAGCAGTGTGTTGTGCGACGCGCGGTAGAAAGCCTTTTGCATGTCCAAGAGAGTCATAATGATTGCCATTCTTCTGTCGATCATAGTCGTGGCATGATCAAAAAATTGTAGCTGGTAGGTAACGCAGGGGGTTTTGAGATCAAACCATACAGTGTGAGTTTGATCAGAACCAGATTTGTAAAAAATTGAACGACTTTCTTCTTGATTATTCTCTCTAGTGTTTTGTAATCAGCAGAGTTGTAGGGCGGTAGTTTGACATTTCATTTGGTAGGTCTTCCTTGTCCTTCGGCACTATACTGGATTGCTTACATTGAGATGGTAAGCAACCACTATTGAGAGAAAGTGTGATTAGGTTTAATAACAATAGGGAGCTGTTTTTCATGCCGCATTTTATATCAGTTGGTGGAGATGCTAACTGGGGCAGGACGAGTTGATGTGGTTATGGATGCAATGGCAAATTGCACCTCGCTCAAGTTTCAAAGAATATTACCGAGTAGCACGTTCGTTCTTTTGGAACTGGAGGATGAAACAGCTGAGTGTTGGGGACAAAGCAGGAGACAAAACTAGTGTTGTTAGCCTGGTAGACGCAGATTTCGCACGTTATTGAACCATCGTCCCGAGCCAACGTTTCGATTTCCTGATGGGGTTTAGGGTCCTTTCTTTTGAGTAGTTGCACCAATGTACTAATTTTTCAGAATTTCTAAGTATCCAATTTTCTTCTTTTATTCTGTCCGCTAGGTTAGACATACTAGCTGTAGCAGAGCCTCGTATCAAAGTCGAGAAGCCGTTGTTCCTGCGATATAGTGACTTACAATTCTGCAGTTTGATTGTGGCCCTTTACAGTAGCTTGTCTTCCCTATTAGGTTCATTGGCAATTCTCCACATGATAGGTGCAAGTAGGTCCACACCAAGGGCGATATTCTTAATAACATCCTTTGTAGCCCCATTAGGATTGTGAGCTAGAAATGATGTGTTTCAGTTCATGGTAATGATAAGTTATTAAATGAATTCCAGTCCACACAATGGCGGTTGCGAATGTGTGTTAGCATATCACTTGCTTGTTTAGGTGAATCAATAGTCATATCACAAACCATCGTGCTGTAATCACAATCCAGTAGAGGATTCTGAACAGGTTTTCTTCCAACAGTTCACAAGCTACATAGTAGTACAACTAAAATCCTGCTACTCGTGAGTAATATAAATTACAAATAGCCTCTCCTACTTTCAAACGATATGGATATAGCGTCTAGCAAGAGGAAGTCATCACCTCGCAGACTAACCACTGTCAGTGACAGTGGGAGATAGGTGGTGCTATATCCCAGTTAGTTTGCAAATTACGTATTCCAGCCAACGTCCGCCATTGCTCAGTGGTTTAAGCTGCTAGCTAGTTGGCATCTGCCTCCATTGTCATGGGTTCGATCCTCCTTAGAGGACCGAGGGAATTCACACCACTGACGAGCCTCAGTAGAGGAATTTCAAGAAATACATAAAGGAACGCAATCCCTATTGTCAGTACAAGGTCTAGAATGGTGGCACTTCTGCTAGGCTTCATAACAGGCCGATTCCAGCCATTGAGGTGAATACATGATATAATTTCCTCAATCCTGTCAGTGTTTTTAAGTGTAGGCAACATCCAGTTAACCTGTGTTAGGTTAAAATCACCACGCGTAATTTCAAACTTGTAGGTAGTGCAGGAGGCAACATTTACCATATTGGTTAACTTTTGGTCTTCCCATTGTGTGGCTGGGGGTGGCCGACAGGTACAACTCACTATAAGATCAGTAGATGCGATACCAGCCATAGTGTACCTTGTAAGTCATTGAGCACAGTTTGAACTGAGGGAAATGCTGTCAAGTTATTCCGAAGGTATATAACGAAGCTACCACCAAATTTGTGTAAGCGATCTCTGCAGAAAAGTATAGAGCCTAAGTTGTTAAGTTGCCAA